ACACACGCACGCACGCTCTCCCAGACACGCACGCACGCTCTCCCAGACTCGCACGCGCTCCCAGACTCGCACGCGCTCCCAGACTCTCACGCACGCGCTCCCAGACTCACACGCACGCACGCTCTCCCAGACACACACACGCACTCCCAGACACACACGCACGCACGCGCTCCTAGACACACATGCACGCACGCTCTCCCAGACACACACACACATGCAGGCACGCTCTCCCAGGCACGCACGCATGCTCTCCCAGACACACACACACGTGCAGGCACGCTCTCCCAGACACGCACGCACGCTCTCCCAGACATGCACGCACGCACGCTCTCCCAGACATGCACGCATGCTCTCCCAGACACGCACACACGCTCTCCCAGACACACACGCACACATGCTGTCCCAGACATGCACGCACACTCTCCCACACACGCATGCACACTCGCCCACACACGCTCTCCCACACATGCACGCACGCTCTCCCAGACTCGCACGCATGCTCTCCCAGACTCACATGCACACACGCACGCTCTCCCAGACTCACACGCACGCACGCGCTCCCAGACACACACGCACGCACGTGCTCCCAGATACACACGCACGCGCTCCCAGACACACACACACACACACACACACACGCAGGCATGCTCTCCCAGACACGCACACGCTCCCAGACACACACGCATGCACGCTCTCCCAGACTCACACGCATGCACGTGCTCCCAGATACACACGCACGCACGTGCTCTCAGACACACACGCACGCGCTCCCAGACACACACACACGCAGGCATGCTCTCCCAGACATGCACGCTCTCCCAGACGCGCACGCTCTCCCAGACACGCACACTCTCCCAGACGCGCGCACGCACGCTCTCCCGGACACGCATGCTCTCCCAGACGCGCACACGCACACAAGCTCTCCCAGACACACACACGCTCTCCCAGACACACACTCTCCCACACACACGCTCTCCCTCTCGCATACGCTCTCCCTCTCGCGCACACTCTCCCTCTCGCTGCCACACTCACACACTCTACCACACCGTCTCCCAGCCACACACGCTCTCCCACACACGCTCTCCCACACACGCTCTCCCTCACACTCACTCACTGTCTCCCACACACTCTCCCACGCAAGCACGCACGCACGCACTCCCACACACACACTCGCACGCACTCCCACACACACTCTCGCACGCACTCCCACACACGCACTCCCACACACGCACTCTCGCATGTACTCTCGTGCACACACACACACTCTCCCTCACACACACACACACACACTCTCCCACACACACTCTCCCACACGCGCACACAACTTCTCCCTCCCTCGCACCCTCTCCGTCCCGCGCATACACACAATCTCACTCTCTCTCCTTCTCTCTCTCTCACACAGAAACACACACTCACTCTCCCTCAGACACACACTCACACTTTCCACACACTCACGCTCTCCACACACTCACACTCCACACACTCAAAGTCCTCACACACACTCCCTCACAGATCCTGTCTCATATACATAGTATCTCTCTCACACATACACACACTCTCACACAGATCCTCTCTAATACACACACTCTCTCCCTCTCACACACATACACATACATACTCGCTCCCCCCCCTACACACACACACATACTCGCTGTCCCCCACACACACAAACACATATACAGTCTCCCTCACATACACACACACACTCTCACACACAGACATTCTCACACTCTCTCTCACACACACACAAGTGAACCTATGGGGTGAATTTGTATTTGGAGATACATTCTATTTTGTTCAAAAAGCACACAATTTATGGACAGTCAGTCAATGTGTTTTTTTTAAATTCCTACTTTAGAAATAAACCCAGTCTGACTCCAAACCAAAACACAAACAGATTCTAAACAAGGCCTCACACCTAATATGCATTGTCTGACCTAAAATGTTCCCTCTTCTTTACACTAATAAAACGTTTAGTTTTCTCAGAACAGTGACTTCAAAGGAATTCAGCGATTTTTTCATATACAGATTAATCAATTAAAACCTTCTACCTGATCAAAGATTTAACAGCATCTTAGATTTGTTTAGTACATTCTGATCAATGGTGTGACCCTTTGATCTTTTACTTATAAATTCTGTGCCTGATACTACCTCTCTCACTAACACCTGAAGAAGGAGTAAGACTTCGAAAGCTTGTGCTTTCAAATAAACCTGTTGGACTATAACCTGGTGACGTATGATTTCTGACCTTCACCATTCGAGATCATGGCTAATTGTCTACCTCTAAACCATATTCCTGCACTATCTCCATGTTCCCTGATGTTGTTAGCAATGAGAAAAGTAATGATCTCTACTCTAATGGCCATCAGACAAGGGACTGGGGACAGAATTATATCATCAGTTACATGCAGGCTCATACCAACATTTTGGGTTTCACTTTCACTTATAAATAGCACCAATGTGCTTTGTATACGTGCCCAAATTTACAGCAGTATTCATACCAATGTGCTGATTTAGGGAGATTGAGAATCAGCAAAACAGCTTCATTTCAGTTTAAAACCTTAAAATAGCTAAAAGATAGGACAAAATAGATTTTATCCATCCAGTCATGCATCATTGGCAACCATGATCTCCTGGCATTAACATGATTCTTTGAAGGAATTAGGGAGGATTTTCCCAAATTCATTCTGAAAATAGCCCCAGTTTTTTTTTGTTACCTCTGTTTTTGTGTCATTAGGCACCAGCATCACTAATGTCGGGATAGAGTCATGTATAAAGCTGCACGAATGAGGCAAGCATTGGTACAAGTTACACTCTCATGTGCATAAGTGCAAGTTGGCTAAGCTTCAGGTTATTAAATTTTTGATTCCATGCTGAAATGAAACTTACTGCTACATGTTCTTCCATCCGGATTTAATGTGAATCCTTCATTGCAGGCACATTTGTAAGAGCTAGGAGTGCTCACACAGATGTGTTCACAATCATGATCTCCACTGGCACAAAGATCCACCACTGAAACGCAAAATCCAGGCTGGGTCAATTCCGATAGAGGAAATATATGGAAATATACGCTTAGGATGTCTGCTAACCAGATCCTCTGTATGTTCCTAATTAGCATCAGCAAATTTCTTTGCTTATTTACTCCCACAGCACTTCATCCTTTGTTAATTTTCCATTCAGCTGATCCTTTCCATTCTCCTCCAAACCCATTTCTCAAAGATAGGTAGCAAGTTGGTCTGCCCCTTCCAAAAGCCCAAATCTCAGTCCATTCAAAAAATCATTCCAAATCAAGCTCTAACCCAGTGGAGAAAGATGTTTGTATAATGGTAATGTCACTAGACAATGAATTCTGATGCCCAGGCTGGGGACACAAGTTCAAATCCCACCATGGTGGCAGCGTTTCTTTCTATTTATTCATAGGATGTGGGCATCTCTAGCTAAGCCAGCATTCATTGCCCATCCCTAATTGCCCAGAGGGCAGTTAAGAGTCAACCACATTTCTGTGGGTCTGGAGTCACATGTAAGCCAGACCAGGTAAGGATGGCAGTTTCCTTCCCTAAAGAATATTAGTGAACCAAGACAAAAACAAAGTTGCTGGAAAAGCTCAGCACGTCTGGCAGCATGTGTGGAGGAGAAAACAGAGTTAACGTTTCGGGTCCGGTGACCCTTCCTCAGTTCTGGGCTTTTCCAGCAACTTTGTTTTTGTTCCTGATTTACAACATCTGCAGTTCTTTTGGTTTTTATATTAGAGAACCAGATGGGTTTTACCTGACAATCAACAATGGTTTCATGGTTATCATTAGATTCTTAATTCCAGATTTTAAAAAAAATTTAATACAAATTCCACCATCTGCCATTGTGGGATTTGAATCCAAGTCCCCAGAACATTAGAGATAGTAGGAACTGCAGGTGCTGGAGAATCCGAGACAACAAGGTGCAGAGCTGGATGAACACAGCAGGCCAAGCAGCATCATAGGAGCAGATGAAGGGTCTAGGCCCGAAA